ACGGACACATGTCCGGATCACTGTACAACAAGGGTAAACCCGGGATCGCTATAAAGATCAAGCAAAAAAAAAATTCTTTGAAATCCAACACATATGAATTCATTGAAAAGTCTCAACACATATGATTATTATCCCTTATAATAACACATAAATGTATTAAGAATAAGTATAAAAAAAATTCTTGAAAAGTCCAACACATATGATTATTATCAAAATATTAAACTTTAACATAATATAATAAAAAAAAAGACATTTAATTTTTTGAAAAGTCCAACACATGATTATTATCAAAATATTAAACTTTAATATAATATAAAAAAGGGAAAAAAGAAGACATTTAAAAAAAAATTAAAAATCACAATTCATATATATAGATAATTGTAAACACAATCCGTGCATGGGAGCTCCAATCTCCCAATCTGAATTTTCCAAATTTTTTATTCAAAAAAAAAAAAAACTCAACATTTATTGATTTGGTCAAAATTCTCTGATCAGCATTTATTAACTTTTTTCAATCCATATGTCTTTCCACATGGCTGCATTTATTGATTTGGTCAAAATCTACTGATCAACATTTAAAATCCACTTATACAAATAATTATAGATACAATCTGTGTATAGTTACTGCAGTACCCTTATATATAGATAATTGTAAACACAATCCGTGCATGGGAGCTCCAATCTCCCAATCTGAATTTTCCAAATTTTTTATTCAAAAAAAAAAAAAACTCAACATTTATTGATTTGGTCAAAATTCTCTGATCAGCATTTATTAACTTTTTCCAATCCATATGTCTTTCCACATGGCTGCATTTATTGATTTGGTCAAAATCTACTGATCAACATTTAAAATCCCGTCATACAAATAATTATAGATACAACCCATGCATAATTACTGCAGTACCTTTTTCAACTTCTCACATACACTATGGTTAGCGATAAGATTGTTAAATTATTTTTATAAAAAATCTTAAAAAACATAATTTATATATTAAAAAAATCTAAAACAAATATAAATATCTATAATTATCCCGTGCATAGCACGGGTGATAGGCTAGTTAACCCAAAATTAAAAAAGAAGTTTCAGTACAAATCTCATCCACTAAAGGAATAATATGTATAATTAGGGATGGCCACGGTAGATGATACAAATCTCATCCACTGAAGTAATCATTTATTTATATATTATTAATTATATCGCGTCGAATTTGAATTGAGGGAGACGATATCCCCCCGCTCCCGCTTCCGCTCCCGCTTCATCTCCATTGCGAGTGACCAAAACATAATTTATCCCACCCACATAAGTGTCGGATGGATAAAATTCACCCCATTCAAGAGGATAAGGACAGATTCCACATATTGAATTAAAAGAATAAGGACAGATTCCACATATTGAATTAAAATCGCCGTAGCTATGTATAATCAAAGAAGGTTCAATACATATCTCGTGTATTAAATGAACAATAACTGCAATCACATGTATAAGGCGATCCGTATCATTCACTGTATCATTCATATTTGGTAATTATTAATTTGGTGACATGATAATATCACATTTAAGTTGTATTTAAGTGCCGTTTTGGGAAGCTTGGCAAAACGCCACGTTTTTTATTCATAGGAAAAAAAAGCTTCCGGCCAAAAACGGCACTTTGTTCATTTGAGAAATCAAAAAACGCAACACTTGAAATTACAAATTGGGCCTTTGAGAAAAAAGTGAAAAAGTAAAAACTAAATGTTAGATAAGAGTATTTTAGTCATTTTAATTTGATTTGACACCATAGACAAATATTAAACCAAAAAGTTAAAAGCCAGCCTTTTATCAACTTTCCAAATCACTTTCTAAAAATCTAAAAAGCTTGGTAAAAAGTCAAAAGCTTGCTTTTTACCAACTTTTCAAAACATAATAAATTTGGGGAGAGATTTAAAAGAAAAAAAAAAGGAAAAAAATGTATGTAAAATATAAATAAAATATAGTTATATTTTATTTAACATTTTACTTACTTTTTTTTGTTTTTTCTTTTTAAGTTCCAAATCTATAAACCAAATACAACTTTAGAGTTGAAGATGGAATAGAGAGGAGAACACAAGATCCGTGTTCAATCACAAGCACGAGATCGTTTGTCCCACTTTTGTTATCATCCTCTATCTCATATTTTTCTGTTTTGTTACGCTAGTCAACTTTTTTGTGTTAAGACTTTTTTAATCTCGCTTGGTTTTTATTTTTGGATTTTTTTGACTTTTATAAAAAAAAAAAAGTGTAATAATTACAGTTTAAATGTGACATTTTATCTTGTTAATTTATATAGTTTGTGTTATCTTTTTATATTTTTTTAGTCCTAAAATATTTATCAAACGAGGACTAAATATATTGATTTTAATGAAGTGATAATGTGAGATAATTTTGAGACAGAAAATAGAACATAGAGTCAAACATATGATCTGTAGTCATAATCACAAAAATGAGATCATTTGTCCTACTTTTACTATTCTCTATATCATACTTTTTTTAACCGTTAATTTTAATGACATTGTAATGTGTTATAAGTATGAAATAAAAGATCAGACAAAAAGTAAAAGAAATGATCCTTGGTCAATAGTCACAAGACATTCAACATAAAAGAAATGATCCTTGCTCAATAATCACGAGATATACAACATGATTTATCAACTGAGTTTAAATTATCTTAAGTTCATCATCTTAATTTAAGAGAGTTTTTAGATTTGGTAGGCGCATTTTCGGGTCGACTTAGGTGATCCAAATCGTTTACTTTTTAGTATTAGTTGAATAGAATATTCATGTAAAAAATTAAGATGATTAGTTATCAGTAGCTATATGTTTGAATCATATTTGTGTTACATAAAATAAATGGCTACTTTTCAAATTGTAATTGTTGTCTATTTTTTTAAAATAAATGAGATTTAAACAAGTTTTAAAAATGAACGGTTTAAATCCTCAAAGTTGGCCCCAAAATTAGCCCACAAAGTCCTAAAAGGTGAATGGTTCGAATAACCAAATTTGATCCCAAAATTAGCCACCAAACCCAAATACTCTCTCAAATTGGTTGACCAACTTGAGAGAATTCAATCGCTTATCAACCAAACTACTCATAATTCATGAAATTGTCTTTAAAGATACAATAATACTAGGTTTCATGAAAAAAATATTATAAAAAGTTTCGTGAAAATTTTCTATCATTTGATTAATGTGTGATACTTTATTCCATTTACAAGAATCTTTATTAAATTTTTCATAATATTTTTTTTTATGAGACCTAATATTACTCTTAAAGATATAATAAAAGTACTCACACACCAACAACATTAATATCCAAATTAATTCAAAGGGAAATTATATTTCAGTTCAACTTTTTAAAAATAATTATAAAATCATTAAAAAAATTATAATTATAATTATTAATATTTATAAAATTTATCATTATTTTTTTCAAAAATCACTGATTTGATATTCTCCCTTCATTCAATTGACCAAGGATAATTTTTGTTGAGTTTGACTGAGGCCCAAAAGTCTAGTGGATTAACACACTCATTTCCATGCCCAAACTATATTCAAGCAACGAAAGACCACACATTTTCTCACAATTAACTAGCATGCATCATTCCACTCAACCACAGAGAAAGAAAAAATAAATAAATAAATAATTTTTTACTAAAACTTTGTCACATAAGTGTAGAACCTACACACATATAACACACATGTGAGAGGTTTGATAAAAAATTTGATAAATTATTTGAGATTTATAATATTTTCCTAAAAAAAAAAAAAAAACATGCATCATGCATATATAAATGCACAATTTTTATACATTAAAATTGTGTTTAGATAAAATTAAATTTGAATATGAATATTTTTTTTCAACCCCATTTCGTAGCTCGAAATGGTGTGGGTCGAAAGACCCGAATTGCTTTGTACACCCACCCCTTTTCTTTGTACACCCACCCTCTCTCTGTTCATCCCCTCCCCTTGGAAAACTCACACACACACACACACAGCTCCGTTCATCCCCTCCCTTTGGTGTCATTTTTTTTTTTTTTAGAAGAAGTAGAAAATCAGAGAAGGAGGAGGAAGAAAGGAGGAGGAGGAGGAAGGAGGAGAAGGACTGGAGGGGGCCCAATTATTAGGGCTGGAGGCGGAGGGCGGATGCACGATCGGGCGGAGGCGACGAGCTGCGAGCTGCGACGGCGGGCGGAGGCGACGAACGAGCTGCGAGTTGCGACGAGGACGGCGGGCAGAGGCGGCGAGCTCTTCTCTCCTCTCCTCTCTCTTTCTCCCTCTCTCCTCCTCTTCCCCTCTGTTCTCCTGTGTTCAACGAAGTTCAACGAAGAAGAAGAAGAAAATCGCAAAACGACGTGGTTTTCAAATGAGGCACTGGTTCTTTCTCTCCTCTCTCTTTCTCCCTCTCTCCTCCTCTTCCCCTCTGTTCTCCTGTGTTCAACGAAGAAGAAAAAGAAAATCGCAAAACGACATGGTTTTCAAATTTTAGGCCATTCGACCCTCACCCATTTCGAGCTACCACCTATTTTTCTATTTTTTTTAATAGATAGGAGTGTAATTACATTATGAAAAATATTTATACAATCAAACAAACCACCAACCCATAATAACTAAAAAGTAAATAAAGTCTAATAATCAATTTACCAAGTCAAGCTAAACAACCACTAACAATTACATACATACCCCATAATGAGAAAAATAAACCAATCATCACAAAAAAGTATTAAACTTATCTCTATAATTGGAGTCGAACCCAACATCTCACAGCAAAAAAATACTACACAGCCACTAAGCCAATTATCCTAATTAAATATAAATATATATAGAAGGAAAATAAAAAGATAGCGAAAGTGAATGAAATATAGATTGAATTTCATTTTACTTTTCCCTTTTCATTTTCTTTGTGAAATTTTATTTATTTATTTATTTATTTTACTTTTTCCATTCCATTTCTTTTATTTCCACAAATTTCCATTTAAATTCTCCATTCAAAGGTAAATATAGTCATCACTAAAAGATAGAAAATTAGACATTACTGTTTTTTTCCCCCTTACAATTGTGAAGAAAAATAAAAGTTACATTAAGGTAAATCTCTAGCTCAAAATTTAAGGCCAACTAGGGTTAATTAATACAAGTAAGAACTTTTGCTTTTGGTTTTAAATCTCCAAACAACAACCTGTTTGGACATGGCCTGAGTATTCTTCTGGTGATTCTAATTTTGTCCACTTGCAATTCTTCAAATCCATCACATAAGCTCTATGAGGTTCACCAATTTTTGCAGAACCAATCACTAGCAACTTACCCTGCCACGTCGTCACATAAGCTGCATTGCACACCTCAGCTGGTAGTCCAGCTAGGACTTGCCAGGTGGCATTCTTACAGACCATCATATTACCGTTGCGACACATGTAAAGCCTCCTTGCATCACTGCCGCCCACACAAGTCCTTGGACACATGGCATCTTCTAAGAAGTCCTCTTGTACAGGGTCCCACTGTTGGGTAGTTAGATCAAATGCTTCAGCATCTCTCTCAAAGCGACCTTGGGCGTTCGTGGGGTATCCACTGATGACGTGGAATTTGCCACGATGGAATACAGCCTTGCACTCGTCTCGCTCTTTTGCCATGTCATTTAATTGAATCCATTCATCTTTTGCCACATCATACATCATTGCTGATTTCAATGCATTTTTCTCGTCATCGTGACCACCCGCAACGTACACCGTCCGATCAGAGTCCGATGCACATCCAAAGAATAACCTATGCCCACCTGGCATATCGGCCCCGCGCCGCCACGTGCCGGACACAAAATTGTAAATGAACACCGACTTGGATACCTCCCAAGTCACCGGGTCACACCCGCCCATCAGCACCAGCTCCAACCCGACACCGACCAAGTGACAGAACATCGGCAACCCATCCGGAAACCCGGGCACGGGCGGCAATTCCGACCAATAACCAGTTTCCGGGTCGCAAAGCACGATCCGGTAAACGAGCCGAGCCAAGTGTTTGGTTAGATGAGTTTTTCGGGTCGGGTCGACCAGGGCCCGTGCCAGCACAATGACTGACTGGGCCAATCCGGACTGTTTCCGGTGCCGGCGAAACTCCGGCAGCTCAATCTGAGCTTTCCAACCCCTGCAAACTGAGGAAGCCACCGAGAATTGGTCGAAAGGAATTCGAATTAGACATTCCAAAGCGACGTCGTTGGGCAGACCCGGAAGGAGCTCCATGAAAGAGTTCAAGCACATATAGATGTATAAGTATAGATATTGAGTTTTGAAGAGATGGAGGAACAAAGAAAGGTGAAGAAAGAAGAGAAGAGAGTGAAATGGGTTTTGTGTTTTTTGAATTGGATTTGATGGGAACTTTTCTTTATGTATATATAAAGAAGAATAAAGGAGTTGAGCTTTAATAGTAGGGTTTTTAAGAGGGTTTTAGTGAAGTTGTAAGGAGTACGATTTATATATAATGTGATATGTTTGTTTATATTTTTATTTTATTTATTTTTTTGTCATATTATTAAAAATAATTTAGAATTTAGAATTCTCTAGTGTAAAGAATTGTGTTTTGTTTTTATTTGGCTTTTTTATTAGAACATATGAAAGGTGTTTTCGTGGAGATAAGCTTCGTATGAACGGCGTTTGGTGTTCTAGAAAGTTTCGTAGGAGAGAGAAATTGGTTGACAGAGACAGAGATAGAGACAAAGAGGCTTATCTTGTGGGCCTCAGATCAAAGCAATGGCCTTTGTATAAAAAAAATTATTCCAACCATTTATGTTTGTGCCTTTGGGTGATAAGTTTGAAAAAAAACTAAATCAATGGACTCTATTTGTCTTTTATTAAAATAAATTTAATGTGTGTGTTTGGTTTTAATTTTTTTAATTTAATTTTTTTTAAATTAAATTTTTTGTTTTTTTGTATTTTTTTATTTTAGTGAATATTTTTTAAATTTTAAATTATTATTTTATTTTTTTAGATGTACCTTATTTAGATAATATTTGTGAAAAAATATTTTGAAAAATTAATAAATACACAAAAATATGAAAAATATATTGAATTTTTATATATTTTTATATATTTTTAGTATTTAGTAAATTTTTTAAAGATTTTTCACAAATATTATATTTTTTAAATATATTTATGTTAATTATTTAAAATATTAAAATAAATTAGTGAAAACAAAAAATATAAAAAATAAAAAAGTAAAATTTTCTCAAAAATAAATTTTGAAAATTGTAACTAAACAGAGTGAATATTTTTATTGCTCTGCTTTGGGGTACTTTGCTGTGGGTGTCGGCTCTTTAGCAATGGGTTTCGCGTTTTTGGTCTTGTCTACATGACTTGGTTTAGCATTCGGTTGGCTGGTTGAGTTTGCCAACATTATTGGGATATTCTTTTCAAGCTATCATATTTTTTTTAAAGTCATTTTAATTGATATAAATTATTCGTATCACTTGTATTTTTTTTTTTTTTTTTTGAAACACTAATAGATTTTAAAATGTGATCTTATAAATTATTTAGTCTTTTATTTTTTTTTATGAATTCAAAAGTCCTATTAAAGTAAAAATTACATAAAATGATAATAATTAATATGTTTGGGTTTAATTTTCTAGAGATAAAAGTGAGTTTTTCTAAATATAAAATTACACATTTGGGCAATCCGTACTATAAAAGTTTTGGATTTTTCCTCCTTCTAAAACAAATTCCACATTACGAACAAAAATATAACACTCTAATCTAACACTCCAATAATATAACATATTAAAAAACTCTTTGGTGTACTTTTTCCAAATATAGCAATGTAACACTCCTCATAAATGTAAAATTTCAATGTAATACACAAAAAAGCTTATTAGTATGTTTTTTTCAAACGTAACACTCCAATGTAATACAAAAAAAAAAAACTCCTTAGCGTACTTTTTCTAAATATAACACTCCAATCAATATAATCTCAAACGTAACATAACACTCCAATATAATACACACAAAAATACTAAAAAACTCATTAATGCACTTTTTCCAAACATAACACTCATAGTTTGAAATTATACATTTGCTCAAAACTTACTAAGAAATTTTTGTACTCCTTTTGGAATGGTTTGAAGAATCTGACATCCATTTTTTGGAGTGTTACATTAGAGTGTTACGTTTGGGAAAATACACTAAAGAGTTTTTTTGTGTGTTACATTAGAATGCTATACTAAAGAGTTTTTTTGAAGTGTTAAGTTTGAAAAAAATACACTGAGATTTTTTTTTTTTTTTTTTTTTTTTACTTTTTTTTTTAGTGTTACGTTGGAATGTTACATTTGAGTGTTATATTGGAGTGTTATAATTTGAAATTATACATTTGCCCGAAGTTCACTAATTCTGTGTTTGGTTGGGAAATTTGGGAAGGGATTTGAAAAGGTAAAAGGAAAAGGTGTGTAAAATTAAGTGAAATGTAGGTATATTTTATTCACATTTCACCTTCATTTTTATTCACATTTTACCTTCATTTTTCATTTTCCTTTCCAAATCCCCCAACCAAACACAGCGTAAGGGGTTTTTATACCCCTTTTAAAATGTTTGAATAATCTCACATCCTTTTGAATGTTTGAATGATCCTATATTTTAAGTCATTTTTGTATTCTTTTTGAAATTTTTCCAAATAAAAAAAGATTTCCATATAAAAATTCATCACAAATTTGATTCCTATAAATTGTGTACCTTATCTTTCTAACACAAAAGAAAAAAAGAGAAAGAAACATAATAAAAATAAAGATATAACTGTAAATCGAATTTCTAAATAATATATTAAATATACATTTTTAAAATCAATGGGATTAATCGGTCTATAGAAAATCTTTGGGACTAAATAGATCATCATTCCTTAAAATGGGATTCATAAGTAAATTTTTCTTCTTTTTTCATCAATATATATCTTATTTTGTCGATATAAAAAAATGAGACATAAATATAAAATAAAGGCATGAGAGTTACATAATTGGAGTTCACGTGTGAGGCCCGCTTTTTAGCTTTTATTTGTGTCTTATTCTGTAAAAATTATTTGTATATTTGAATTTTTCTATGATAGTGTTTTATAATATTAAAAATTAAAAATTAAGTATTTAGCGGCAACGGTTGTGGAGATGGAGGGAGGGCGTGATTGTGACGATGTTGGAGGGGAAGTGTAATGGAGGTAGAGGGTGGCAATTAGGGGTGGGCATTCGTCGGGCCAGGCCGAGCCGACACTACATAATAAAGGATTTTGTGTCTACCCAAGCCCAGTCCGACCCTAATATTGGGCCTCTACATTTCCCCAAGTTCAGTCCAAAAAATAATTATAAATCCCAAAAAAATTTAAACATTCCATAATTAAATTCAATCACATATTATATTTATTAAATAAATATATTGATATCATTATAAATAGAAATATTTTGTATATAAATTTAAAGTTTTCTTAAATAAATTCAATTACACATCACTGCAAATGTGAATTTCAATAAAATCAATAAAGATAAAATCTTGATCCCAACAAAAAATATATTTTTTAATATGTATAATTAATTAATTAATTAGCAAGCCGAACCAGGCTGGGCTAGGTTGGAAATATAAATCCCAAGCCTAACCCATTAATATATAGGGTTGAAAATGTTAGTTCAGACTGGCCTTATAGGCTAAAATAACATTCCCAAGCCCTAAAAAAATAGGGCTGAACTGGGTGGGGCAACAAGTCGATGCTCACCCCTAGTGGTAGTGGCAATGAAATAGTAATAGTGGTGGTTATAATGGTGGAATGATAAAGGCAGCTATGGTAGTAGTGGCGATGGTGGTGGAGAATTGCAGCAGTTGTGGTAGTGATGGTTATATCAGTAATGGTAACCTTGGTAGTGGTGTGATAGTATGAGTGAAATGATGGCAGTGCAGGTCATAACGGTAGTAGAGATAGAAGTGGTAGTGGTAGTAATGTTGGAGGAGTAGTAACTATGGCAGTGACAATAGGCATGATAGTAGCAACGGCAACGACAGTAGTGATCAGGTCACAATGGTACATTTTGATACTTATAGATAAGTAGTTATAAATTCGACATTGATGTGGCTACTGTGTAAGGGCACAACAACCATTATTGTGCGGGAGATGGGAACCATTTTGGAGCCCATTTTGATTATCTAAATCGTTCAATTTTTAGGGTATATCAAGAATAACATATCTGTAAAAATAAGTTAATCGGGTATCGATAGCATTTTCATCAAAATGAATTTGTATTAAGTTTTATATTTCAAATCACATTTATCATTCATTTTTTTTTAGATATACATGCAATTCAATGAAAAAACTATTGATATCTAATCAATTTGATTTTTTGCAGGTATGTTTTACTTGGGAACTGGGGAGCGTGATCACATCACGGTGCTGCGAGGGCCATGAAGCCTTGTCCCAAGCCGATGTTGTTGATCCGAACCGTTCATATTGTAAGATTTATCAAGTAGATCATTCATGAAAAAATTTAGATTAATTGAATATTTGTAACCTGAAAACAAGACCACATTTATTTGTATAAAAATAAACGGGTAGCATAATTTTGATAATTTATTTTAGGCAATTAGAACTTGATCATGGGGTTACATGTCCGATTAACTTGATTTTTTTTTTTATGTGAATAATATGTTCAATGAACTTTATAATATGAATGATTTGAATCATTCAAACAAGTTTGGGGCACATCTCCATAAGGCCTCCGAGCATGCTTAGTGTGCCATTTAGCACAACACGTTTCCCTTATCCGTTTTACTAGATATACTTTAAAAAGTGAACTGTTTGAATTATTAAAATATATCTCAAAATATCCCAATGTCTATAAATTTAGTTAGCATTAAATTTTTAGTTATATTATACATTAGATTAAAAAAAAATTTAATTTAAAAATTTAAGTATAGCATTACTCCTTATGTTTGGTTGTCATTGTCAAGAATCCTAAAAGAGAATGAAAAGTTAATTCTGAATTCTCATGATCAGTCATGTGAAAAGATTGGGCAAGTCGGTAGCCCATTTTTTGGCTCGTATATTTAGTCAGCATTAAATTTTTAGTTATATTATACATTAGATTAAAAAAAAATTAATTTAAAAATTTAAGTATAGCATTACTCCTTATGTTTGGTTGTCATTGTCAAGAATCCTAAAAGAGAATGAAAAGTTAATTCTGAATTCTCATGATCAGTCATGTGAAAAGATTGGGCAAGTCGGTAGCCCATTTTTTGGCTCGTATGGCTGTCGAGTTGGTTGGATGGTCGGTGTGGATGGAAGAGGTTCCTCCATCTTTGCTTCCTCTAGTTTGGCCAGAAGTTTTGTTTATTTGGTCTGACTATCTAAAAAAATTTCTCACGATTTCAATATTTGAAACATGATAGAGTAGGAATATGATTCCTCTTTACTTAGACCATTAAGAATCACTT